TATGTATATATTGATAATGCCATCCCAAATTTTGCTTCCGAAAAATTTTTCTTTTAAAATAAACTCTCGATTCTTATCGAGCCATTTTTGACCTTGTAAGTCGATTGCCTTGCGCATCGCCATCAACCTTTTTCGCATCACCTCAAAAAATTTTAACAAGCAATAAAACCCTTGATCCAATATCAAGTGACATGTTTCTCATAAAAAATCCAAAACACAATAAAGATACGATTAGGGTTACACGCCACGAGCTTTAAAGTGGTGGAGAAGGAATGAGAATGAAACCACTCCTACACTCGTTCCAAATATTTTGAATACAAGGCGCTCGACTTGGATATTCGAGATATTCATCTCTACCCAAAGTCTTTAATGTGATCTTAATCAAGAACTTCTTTTCAAAACCATAAAAAATATCATCAACTCATCAAACTTCTTTTTTGCCTTAGGGCATCATCTGAAAACTTTTTTTTAAGGTATAAAACCAACCAACACACAATCATTTCTCAAGTGGCCGAACTACGGCTGCTCTGATTTCTCACACCTGTTGAGAATACGTAGGCATATGATTGCGATAATCCTAGCGAGCACTCTTTTTTCTTTTCCACCTTTAGTCCTCCATTCCTCATCACCCAAAAGGATACGTTACGCCCGTTCTACCGCAAATAGGTAACACATAAGACTCCACGAGCGAGTTGCAATACACCTAACTGCTAGAATGCGCTTGTTAAGCATCGTCCACCCAAATATCCCATTTTTCCCCATAGTCTCCGAACTACGGAGCTCTGGTTCTTCACTTTTTTTAAGTGAGGATACGTAGGCACAAGGGTCACAATCCTTGGCGAGTACTTTAATAAAAAAAACCAACCCCTCTTTTCCTTTAAGCAAGTAAACTTGTAGATTAAAAACACTCATTCAAGCTAAACAACTTAGAAGGTTCCCATCAAATACGATGGATGTGAGGGGTGTTAATATCTTTCCCTCACATAACCAATTCGCGAACCCTAAAACTTGGTTGCGATGACCATGTTCTTTTCCTAAAGGTTTTATCGTTATTTCCCTTTCCCTCCTTGGGATAAATAAAATCTGGTGGCGACTCTGTGTCATTTTTCGCGTAGTGACAATTATATAATCATTTTGGTAGACAACGATCAAATATAACTATTTTATGCATTTATATTTATTTACTTTACTTTATTTATATACATTTCGTAGTTTAGTAAAAGAAAAGAGGATTATGGTTAAAAAGCTACTCTTTCCGTCCTAAATTTTAAGACGTTTTGGGTATTTCGCGTGCATTAAAAAACTTAATTATTATTTTATGAAAAAGACAAATTATGTATGAATTTACAGTAATGTCACTCGTAATTAAATAGGAGAGAGAAATTAAAAAAATTGAAAGAATAAATAATAATAAATATTTTATGGTATATTATAGAAAATATCATTAATATTACGTTGAAAATGTAAAATATAATTTAGGACAATTATTTTTGACAAAATAACTTATAATTTGAGACTGAAGTAATATCAAGTCACTTTAAATTAAATATTATCCATATGTGTTATGTTAACAACTAATATTGAGTTGTAAGATGATGAAGTGTAAGGATTGATTAATGTGTATATACTATATAGTGTGACTATTTTGTGATTGGAATTTGTTTGTTATAAGAAAAATATATTTTTTAAATTTATTTAATAATTATGTATATTATTAAGATACAAATTAGATACAATATTTATTCAATAAATTTATTAATTATTTTTGTATAAAATAAAAAAATTATTTATTATAAATTACATTTCAACTTGGAAAATAATGAAAGCCTTCTTAACTTCTTGCTGAAAATGTTGAATTCATGCATGTTTGACATGTGGTGGATTCACTTTTGGTTTCATCATTGATGGCTAAAATTGAGAACAATATTTGTCAGACGTGTTGAAAGGAATTGTTTATAATTGTGTCTGTCCTAACTTTTTAAAGGTACAAAGCTAACTATAGATCCATAATGAAAAATTAAGCAATTAATTTTAAAGTTTAGTTATATAATAATTTTTTAAATATTTAATTATAAAAATAAATATTATTTAAATTTTATATTAAAGATTAATAATTTAAAAAATAATTATATATAAATATAGATATAAAAAGGCAAAAAATTTGATTAGTTTAACAATTTATTTAAAATATTACTTTAAATTAATATAAATATTAAAATCAAGGTTCCAACACATTCTAATAAAATCTCACACAAACACGCACACGTGCGTGCACGCACACACGCAATTAATTACTGTATAATGTTAGTATAAAAAGTTTTATATTGTTAGTTAATCACCATCATCTATTGGTTTATTTATTAATGATTAAACTAAAAGTCAAATTTCTTCTAACATCAAACAATTATGATTAACTGATAGTGTAAATCATTTTATATTGTCAATGCATTTCAATTAAATTATATATATATATGTGTATGTGTGTGTGTTGTTGTGAATCAGATACCTTGAAACAAAGTATAAACGGTTTCTTTATGATCAAGAAACACACAACGGTTAGGGTTAACAAAGAAAATAAGATAAAATATCAAGAAACAACAAGGATTGGTTAAAAACTGTTATTCTATCCTTTCTCTTAGAAACAAGATTACAAGTATACAAGAATAACAATATAATCTTTCTCTCTTAAAATTAGGATTTTATCTTCCTGTTTTTTCTTATATCAAGATGAGAGACTAGCATGCTACATATAAGAAAAATAACACGTTAACCTAATGAGTTTTTCAACAATTACTCATTACAAGCTAACTTAAACAATTGGGCTTACAAGTAAGGCCCAATTCAACATGCTAACAACTTAGCAATATTGACTAATGCACATTACAACAAACTTCAAGTACAACACGCACTCGCGAACCAACTTCGACCATACTAGAGTTAGATCCAATATCTCACAAATCACCAACTTGGATCTAACTCTAAAACATCAAGAAACTAGCTTTCTTCATGCAGCTTTATCAACTGCTTATAGTGGAAAAACTTGCAACTAGACAACGTCTTGGTGATCATATCGGCAACACTATGATATGTCAAAACCTTCAGCACTTGAACTTCTCTGCGCTCGATTACCTCTTTGACGAAATGCATCCTCACAGATCCAATACCTGCAATTTTGCAAGATTTATTATTTCCCAGCAGCACTGATCCACCATCTTGATCACATATCTCCTCGAACAATTCTATATTTTGAGTCATATGCCAAGTGCAAACCTGAATCGATAATCCATTATTTTCTTGAGTCGCCACTTGAAACCACAAGGACATCAGATGAGTTGAAATCATCTTGAGCAATGGTTGTGTTGCCATTATCCTTACCTCCATGATCTTTTAGGGATTCAGGACACACATTTCTTGTGTGACACTCCTTCTTACAGTGATAACATTGAATACCAGATGTTTCTACTATAAGACTTCTGTTGACTTTTACCTTTCTTCTTGTCAAACTTACCATCCTTTCGCAAGAATTTTTCCTTGACGGCCAAACCTTCATCCACCGTCGAAGGTTTATGCTCCTTTCGTTCGTTCAAGTCCTTAGAATACAAGGCTGATTGAACTTCTTCAAAGCTCAGGGACTCCGTTCCATACAAGAGAGTTTCTTTGAAGTGAGCATGTGTTCTGGGTAAAGCACACAACAACAACAGTGATTGATCTTCATCATCGATCTTCACATCAATATTTTCAAGATCAAGAATTAGCTTGTTGAACATATCCAACTGCTTAGCCAACATTTTGTCTTCGCTTATTTTGAATGAATACAAAGCTTGCTTCAGGTATAGTCGATTCATTAGGGATTTGGTCATGTACAAACTTTCAAGTTTCACCCATAACCCCGATGTTGTAGTCTCCTTTGATACCTGTCGAAGAACCTTATCACCAAGGCTCAACAATATTGCGATGTGGGCTTTCCCAATCATGGCCGCCTTTTCTTTTTCCATTAATGCAACGTCCATGGTTGTCTTTCCCTTCAACGCTTTCAAACAACCCTGCTGAATCAGTAGAGCTTTCATTTTCAAGCGCCACAGACCGAAGTCGTTCACTCCGATGAGAGACTAACATGCTATTTATAAAAAAAATAACACACTAACCTAATAGACTTTTTAACAATTATCCACAAAACTTCGACTACAACACGCAGTACTCAGGTACAATTTTTTTAAGCTACCTAATTGCCATGGCCGCTGGCCCTGGTTTCTAACATGGTTGTGGTTACATCAACCAGAAAAAGGTTGTGTTAGGCAATAAAAGAAAATCATATCATTATTTAATAAAATTATAATCATTCATATCATATTAATACTAATATTTTAAAAATAAAAATGTGATTTAAAAATGAGTTTAAGTTATGTATTGATAGTGTAAAAAAATTTTGCACTATCATCTAATAGAAATATATAAATTCTATCATGTCATATTATAATTATTTTAAAATTTTTAATATAATTTAACGGAATGCATGATGGTCATTGATTTGATAACGGTCAATACATCACCTTTTCTTTTTCTTTATGATTTTGTTGTTACTATTAAATGAGCCTAACTTACAAGAAAAGAAAAATGTTACTATTAAAAAAGAAAAATATAATTCGGAACAAGTTCATTGAAAAAAGGAGATATAACCTAAAATATAAAACATTAAATGAGAACAAGAGAAAATCATATAGGGGGTTATGTCACGAGCGCTTTTATTATTTTCAAAAAGAGATTAAGAAAATAACAGATTCATAATATATTTTTTCACTTTTTCTTATCCCTTTGAAACCACTAATTAATTACAACACCGAGACCCTAAAGGCCTAAAGTATTCAAGTTGCTGAAACAACTGGCCATAACAAACCCAGCCTAAAAACATAACTAAAAACAAATCAAATCAAAGGAAAAAGATGCAACAATTTTCACTTCCAACTAATTCATTGCACAATTGTGCAAATTTCAACTTTTCTTCACTCCCAAATTCCAACTTCCATAAACCCATTCTCAGAAGCACATCCTCTAAACATACCATTGCAGTTAAACCCATAAGCAACTTCACCTTTACTTGAAACCGCAATCAGTCCAGCAAATCCTTCATCCAACCTATTCTTAATCACATAATCCACAGCTTCTTGAAGTCCAAGTCCTTTGTACTCCATAACAGCCGACACCTCACGCGCCAAAGTCCCGCGAATGATTGCCTCGCCTTCACCGGTGCATGACACGCCAGCAAGTTTACAAGCATAAGTACCCGCTCCAATGAGTGGCGAGTCGCCAATTCGGCCCATCATTTTGTTCATTAGCCCGCCAGTGGAAGTTGCAGCAGCACACCTTCCTTCACGGTCAACAACCACGCACCCGACTGTCTCGGGTGCGTACACACTCATTGGAAGTCCATTCATTTTCAATGGACTCTCAACTCCTGCACCACATGTTTCATATCCGGAGGCTGGAATTCGATAATCAAACTGCATCACACAATAAACAGTAATTAATTAAACCATTTTATACAAAACAAAACAAAAAATATCAGTGGTTAAAAATGAAAACAAACATAATTTTTGTTTTGGTAGAGTTTGGTAGAGATTAAACAATGAGAAAGTATAGTAATTGTTTTAAAATATTTTAAAATAAACATACTTTCTTCATTTTTGTAAAAGATCTTCCATTGTAATTTTTCTATAATTAAATAGTTGAAACAAGATCCATGATAATTACGTACCAGAATTGTATTTGCTTCCTTTGCCAGCTTAAGCATACCAATATTGTCCTCGGTGATAAAGTATTCATTGTCCACAACCTCCACACCCTATAAAAACCAAAACAAATACCAATATAATTATTTAGTACTGTAATTAGCACTAATCTAATAAGTTAATAATAATTTAATTAATTTGTTTTTATTTGCCAAGTTTATGAACACGTGGAATAGTGTTTATTTCACAAACCTGTTGTCTCGCAAAATCTTCGGCACCGTCAAAAGCAAGATAGGAATGAGGAGATTTGTCCATGACCAAACGTGCCAGTGAAACAGGATTTTTAACGGTGGTTAATCCTGAAACGGCACCGCATCGGCGTTTTGGACCATCCATTATGCTAGCCTCCATCTCCACCGTACCTTTAGCCGTCAGGGCAGATCCACAACCCGAATTGAATAGTGGATCCGTTTCCAATTCCCTCACCTTTCACAAACATAACAAACATATATTCAACAAACAAAAATGATTAATGATAAATATCTCCCGGGATTCCGAGATGAATATTAAACATATTAGTTGGTGTCCTTATTCATGTAATTTTATAAGAATTATTAGGAGTTGTGACAATGTATATTTATTTTTTTGTTATTAAGGTGAAAGATGGTTGGGGTTGGTTATTAAAGTACCACAAGTTCGACAACATCGATGGCGGGAAGATTGGAACGAAGAGCAGAGATGCCAAGATTGAGAACACGAGTGAGAAGTTGTTTGGCTTCTTCTTGACGTTGGAGAGGGAGGTTAGGGTCAACACCAGCACCACCATGCACGGCAATAGCCCAACCACCCATGTTTCTCTCTTTTATCTGACTAGACTCACTCTGCTCTGTTACCCTTCTGGTGATTGTTTATGAATGTTTGGAGTCTGCAACAAAGTAGGTGAGTGAGGGGTGTTTTTATAGGCCATTTCGGATTTCAAATTTTTATGTGCTGGACTTTATTTTAATTTTGAGTCGCAACGGTTTTGTTTGGTTCAGGCTTCACGGTGTGTCTCTTCGTACGCAGGCCACAAGCGCTACTTCTTTTCTTCTTTTAAAAAAAAAGTATTTCGGTTACTATTTTATAATTTTCTAAATAATATTTTTCGGCTGTCAATTAGTAAAAAAGTTGTTCCATGTGAGTCAATTTTTGTATTGTTTAGTATAATAAAGAGCACGTAAATAGTATAGAGGTCACTTTGAATGCTCTCTTATATTGAAACTACACTAAACAAATACTAGAGAAAAAAAAGAGACCTTTTTAATTTAAAAGCAAAAGTTGGATTCTATTCATTCCAAAATATATTCGGTATAAATATTTTGAGTATGTAATATAAGAAAAGGACAACTATAAGAGAACGTAAATTATCGAATTTAAATTGAGTGATTGAAATAGAAAAGAGTATAAAGATTTTATGTGATATAGAGGTATTGTTCAAGACCTGCGATGTTGTATAGGATGGGATGTTGAACATTTAAAAATCAACATAAGAATAAAGTAAGTGTAGCATAGATGAGAATACTATGTTTGATGTGTGATAAAAATCAACACAAGATTTTATATGATACAGAGATATTGTTCAAGACCTGCGATATTGTATAGGATGAAATGTTGGACATTTAAAAATCAACACAAGAATAAAATAAGTGTAGCATAGATGAGAATATTGTGTTTGATGTGTGGTAAATTTAAAAAATAAAATTATAAATGACAATATTAGAAAAGTGTCACAATAATATTTATATAAAAAGATGGTGAAAAATAGAATTAGATGATTTGAATATGTAAAAAGAAAAATATAAATTTTATGATAAATAGAATAGATCATATGTAATAAAAGTCATAACTAAAGTTACAAAAAGATGTAAAAAAATATAAGCGAAATTATTTTTAAAAAAAATATTTTAAAATTAATGATTTGAATAAAAATATGACCTTAGTTAAAATATTATGGCACAAATTAATTCATATAATATACCATACTTAGATAAGGCTTAATTGTTATTGTTATATGTGTTGTAGTATCTGGGTCAAATAGTCCATTAACAATAATCACATTACCTTAAATGAAAAATGATAATTTGTTGCTTCAAGTTTGTGCTAAACACATTATTCTATTATTGAATTATACTTGCTTTGAGTTTTTATAAAGATGTCTTTGTTGATATTGTAACATACGGAGATATGGATGAAAAATAAATTAAAAATTATGTGAAAATTGTATATTTAGTATTTTGATTACCACTAATGTTTTTATATATTATATTTTAATTATTTTTTCATTGAGAACAATTATGCATTATATTATTTATTCTATAATATATAAGTATTATTTTAATTATAATTAGTATTGGAAAGTGTCCATATCTTAGATATTTTTCTTCTCAATCACATTTATAAATCATTATGGACAAGATTCAATTTTATCATGTTTCCACATATTAATTTGAATTTATGTGTAGAAATTTCGTTCTCTTGACTCCTCGTCCGCCTATCGTTCGTTTTCGATCATTAATGAATAAATATTTAAAAATATGATATCAAAATATACTAAAAATATCAATTACGAAATTTGACAAAAAAAATTCAAACTTAATAAAAAATATTACTTACATTCACCTAATTGTTTTGGTGTTGGTTTCATGCAAATTAGAATTACGATGATGAAAATACGAACAAAACAACGTGTTAATCAATCAGAAAAAAAATATTTTAAACGAAAGGTAAAACAAATGAAAAAGCTTAACTAATTAATTGGTAGAAACAACATACTAACAGGTGGAATGAATCATAGAATTTTTTTGACAATTGACTTGATTTCGGAATAAAAATCTTTTCTTTTTTAACCAATGCTTTTAATGAATAGCGGTTGAAGAAGAGGTATGCGGTGTTGAGGGGCTATTGTAAAATTACTGTAGCACATTTATTCACACTGAAAAATAAATATATATTTTATTTGTTTGTTAGTTAATTGATTTATGAATTTAGTCCATTTATTTAGCAACTCACACTCCTTTATTTCTACACCTTGCTCCAGTTAAATTACATATTTTCTCTTATTTATATTATTCACTTATAAATAAAAATATTATTTATTAAAATAATTATATTAAAATTATATCATATTTATAAATTTATTAAAATATTAAACAAACAAATATAATATTAACACTTAATATTAATTATAAATTCAATAAATATATACTAAATTATCATAACATAGTGTGTACAAAATTATTCAAGATTAATTATAATATTACTAATTTATCAAGATAATTATTTATAAAATAAATAATTAAAATTATGATGACATATATAATTAAATTAAATTATCACTTCATGCTATTGAACAAATAATAAAACTTGTCAAAATAGAATAAGTGTATTATATATATATATATATATATATATATATATATATATATATATATATATATATATATATATATATATATATATATATATATATATATATATATATATATATATATATATATATATATATATATATATATATATATATATATATATATATATATATATATATATATATATATATATATATATAGAGAGAGAGAGAGAGAGAGAGAGAGAGAGAGAGAGAGAGAGAGAGAGAGAGAGAGAGAGAGAGAGAGAGAGAGAGAGAGAGAGAGAGAGAGAGAGAGAGAGAGAGAGAGAGAGAGAGAGAGAGAGAGAGAGAGAGAGAGAGAGAGAGAGAGAGAGAGAAATGTTAGATTCTTATCCTCTTAAAATAGTTTCGTCCTTAAAATTTGAATGTTTAAAATAGTAAGATATAATTTCGTCATTAAATAAAATGAAATGATAATAAAACGGATTGGATAAAAAATGTTGAACACGGCGCTGCACCTTGGGCAAAGCATAACCTTCGAATTTTTCTTCTGACACCTATATAGGAAATCGATTAGACTCTCTTCTTCCTTCGGGAAAGCTAGTTTGTTGTATTTCTCTTGTCGTCGCTCTTCTTCAGTTTCCATCGAAGTTTCATGCGAATGTTCAACCATGTTAATATCCATAGCGACATCCTCAGTAATATCCAAATTTTGAAACTCCATCGTAAGGCCGTCAGTAGCATTATCCATCTGCACGAAACCATCATCAGTTTCTTTTGTTACCATCACCAAATTAGAATCCTCAGTGATTTCTATAGTATTGGAACCATCGGCAGTTTCGTTGTTACAACCTTTAACGACTCATTTGTTAAAGCCATCAGTAACCTCACATATGAAATCTTTCAAAAGCTCCTCGTCAAGGTACTCAGTGATCTTGACCATGATAACATCATTGATGAAGTCACCACTAACTTCGATCATGTTAATATTGTGAGCGAAGTCATCAGTAACTTCGATCATGTTGACAACAACTGGTTCAATGAAATGAGCATCAGCCACTTGTAAAGTGTCAACATCGATTATCATCTGAGTCTTCACTTTCGCTCCAAACCTTAGTCTTCCAACCTTAATGGAATTTTGAAAAGAAAATATTGAGATGTTTTATGACCCAAGAAATTATGATACTTACAAAAACCTCTCTTCTTCCTTTGCTCTAAAGGAGGCATTTTAGCACCCGGAGGCACTATCATTTGACCACCCTTAATTAACAAGTCGAAGATTTCGTCACATTTTGTGACGTCGAAGGTTTAAGTTTTCTTAGGGAATCTATCGTTCATGTCTGGTTCGAGTGGATTTTTTCCGTTTTAGGGGGCTAAGGCTTTATAGAAATAAGGGGTCCTTGCTTTAACTCAGCGAGATCAATCTCACTTTCGTCAAAGTTTTAAGGTTCATTATATTGTCCCTTGTCGTCTTCATTAAATTCGACGTAGGTCACCCTCTTGTTTTTATTTGCTCTGGATTTTTCCTCCTTCAAGCGTTCTAATTGTCGAACCCTATCAGTCACTTGGGCCATATCTCTCAAGTATTGGGTGTCTAGTTTCTTTCTAATAGAATAATCTAGACCTACGACGGCCATTTCGAACAATTTGTGTTCTGGCACTTGTGTAAAACACCTGGATTTAAGTAGACGAAATCTATTCAAGTAATCATCTATTGGCTCAGTAAACTTTCATTTGATACTGGTCAATTCCTTCAGGCTAATCTTGGTTTGTCCCATATAAAATTGTTCATGGAACAATCTTTCTAACTGAGTCCAATTATGGATCGAATTTGGTGGCAAGGTTGTAAATCATGTAAAAGAATTTTTGGTGAGAGATCTTGGAAAATATTTTACCCTAATATTTTCATTATTCGAAATCTCTATAGCCTCTATCAAATACCTAGCCATATGTTCGATAGTGGATTCAATGGTATCTTCAGAAAATTTAGTAAACTTAGAAACTTTTCATCTATGAGGTAGATCTGATTGTAGAATATACTCTGATAATGACGAAGTATAGTTTTGTCTCTGAAGACCAAAGTGTATCTCATTTCGTGTCGTTATCCTTTTGACCATGTCTGCTAGATTTTTATCTGCGACCATATCATCACATCGAATCTGGTGTACAATGTTATCAACATTTTAATTTCTATCCACCATTACTACCCTTAGCCTCTCCTCAATGAGAATTTGAGGTCGGGCTCTGGGGGGTTCGACTCTAGGCTATTTGACCGCTACTCTTGGATTGACTAGATTTACATGGGGCGGGTCTCTTTGGTTTGGTTGAACTTGATTAATGGTAGGATCTTCTTCGAGGACTATTCCCTGATTCGTCAATATGTATTCTCTCTGTGGATGTCGAGGAGGCTGTGGTACTCCAAAAAAATCCGCAAGACGTGTCATTTGTTGGTTGGATTGAGTA